TGCTAAAATTTGAGAATAGGGACCTGAAGAGGAATTGCACAAAATAATCCATTTTTCCTGAAGAAAGAATTCACTATTAAGCAAAAAAGCGGTAGATGATTCATCTGATAGTTTCAAAAGGTAAGAGAAAGAAAAAGAAATAAAAAGTAGTGAGCATTGATCATCCTATTCTGCGATCAGTGAAATATTGTTTAATTTATCATTTTCCTCTTTTGCATTAATTATTATATTTCAAGAAAATGATAATGAAAAACCTTAAATTAAAATGTGATTTCATTTGTCTTACCTTTTCAGGTGGAAAAAGTAAAGAAAAAAGAAATAAATATGTCGTTTATTTCTCGTATATAACAAATTATTAACTGATTATTTAACTTTTCATGCAGCCAAATAACGAAATTAAATAAAAATGAACGAAATTAAAGCATCTTTATTTTCATTGATAAGTTTGTAATGAATGCTAATATCGTGGTCACGTAGATAACGTAAAATTAAGAAATATTTGTTATGAATAATTTTTGGATATTAATAGTAAAAGGAGAATTATTTTATTTAAAATTTTGCAGAAATGAAAATTTTATGAAAACGGAAAAAGCTAAAAATGTTTGGTTTATACTAATTAAATGCATTAACTAAATGAATTCGTTTTATAATGAGAAGACAATAAGTGTAATTTCGTATTTTTCTTCTTATATGATGATTAGATTTGGAAGAAAATGTGAATAATTTCCTTTAAAAGTTTCATAAATGTATGTTTAGCTATAGAATCTCTTCTAATTTAATTGGAAAACAACGTTTTATTCAAACTCTGCAAAATGGAAATGTTAAAAAGCCAAGATAACAGAAAGATTTAAAATGAATATATCAGTATCTTCTTATCTTCTCAATATATATCTTATAATTCATTTATTATAAATCATTTCATTGTTGATTTCTTGGATTACCTTTGTGTTATATAAATGTAATTTTTGTTTGTTGTATGATATGAGAGTTTCAAGAAGACTTTTAAATTGCAAAAACAATGAAAATATGTTGAATTTTTAAAGAAATATTGAAGAATCGTTGGTAAGAAGATAATAATTGTTGTGCTACATTAGGATCACTGCCTGCAACGGTAAATTTGTTGTGATTCGAATAGCGCATCTTTTAAAATTTTGTTTTCCTTTCTTATTTTATTTCTCATACTTTTCATTTCGTATCTTTTCTCATTTCAAAAACTTTTCATTGCTCGATTAAAGTCAACATGATCGAGTAGAAAGGAGAAATATGACGTTTAATTTCTATTTCAGCCTTTTTTTTCCTCTTTCATTCACCACATTTCTTTGATATTTCACTATTTGATTTATGAAATGAAAAGAATCAAATAAGCCATGTTGCTATGATATCGAAATAAAATTCTAAATAGGAGAAACTTTGTATACTCTCATTTGTTCATAGAAAATAATGCAAAATAAAATTTAATTCAATCAAATATAAATTAAATGTTATATTCATTACATTGCAATTTAAAAGTGTCATTTTAATTAGTATGAATACCGAACTGGATGTGTTGATGATATTTTCTTGATTTTCTAATAATATTATAAAACTAGAAGAGAGGAAGAAAGAAAAATTGACATGGTTTCATCTGTGTGATAACTAAAAATAGGCCAACATTTTTAGTTGCCAAATAATTTGCAATCCGTCTAGTCCTATTATTCGTTATCATTCTTCGATCACTTCCATCATAATAAGAAATTCCTCCGAGAGATACAAGAAGCACTTAATCACCAGAAATAAAATTGAAGTAATCATACTATATATTTGTATACATTATAATTAAATAACATAAAGCTGCTAAATTGGCTCAGCTTCTTTCAGTTCATTTTGAAATTGTTCAAAATGAACCCAAATATCTTTTATATATTTTTCCTCCTATTCCTTGTTCTTCCAAAAATGTGACTTTTCCTGTTTATGATGGAGAAGCTTGAATTGAAGGAACTTTAAAATTTAAAGGTTATTACCAAAATGTCTCGCTGATCAATCATTGAATTCGAAACCAATGGCAGTTATGCTGAAAACAATAGAACTACTGTGTCTCGTTCGGGAAACTTTTACACATTTTCCAGAAAACAACTTTTAAAAGTCTTGAAATATAAGAAGAAAAAACATAATTTCATTCAACAGAACCTTAAAATAAAAGAATACAAAAACCGGAAAAGATGATAAAACGATAAACAATTATTTTGAAATCGTTTTCCTCGAGCGGGCCGCATAAATACAACTTATGAAACTCTTACGATTTCCAGTGATAATAAAATGAGAGTTAAAGGATAAATTTTCGATGACACCATTCTCACAAAAAATAAATTACAAAAAATTAATGCATTAAAACTGCACCAGAAGGCCTGAAAGCTTTATATTACCTGTTCGTGATATAAACTTGAGGAGAATTAATAATACGCAAATTATAAAATATAGATTTAGGATTGTTCGCAAAAACTCACGTTGCATATTTCCAAGGACAAACGTAGCTTTTTGGTGCAGTTGGAAGAGGAAGCTTATTACGCAGAAGAGCAAGACCACAGAATCAAAAAATTATCTTTGTGAAGTTTTTGATTTTTGAGATTTACAAGATAAATATTCAGATAAGATCCTTTGAAAAGTTACAGATGGTGTGATCCAAACTAGTGATCTAAAACACGCAGTACTCCAGTAGTTACTGAACTTGAATCATTGATTTATATATTATCTAACTCAGAATGTCAAAGAAGTAAGATTTCCATCAATTTCAATCCCACTGGAGAATTGATAATCACCAAAATGGAAATTCAGGGCACTTATGAATCGTTAAAATTCACCATCCAAAAATTTTTTTGATAAATTTATTTATGGGAAGATGGATAACATTACTAAGATGCTTTTTAACTATTGACATTTTTTTAAAAAAAGGAGTGGTAATTACATCCCAGATGTGGAGAATCAATCAACAAATTTCACTTTCTATTTTCCACTATACAATACCAACTAAAATGGGCTGACTAGTAATCTCATGGTTACCTATTGTTCATATCATTCGCTTACCACAGTACAAAGATCATACATTTTTTATCACTCTGAAAATGAACACATTTTATAGGAATAAAATATCACAATCATATTTCTAAATTAAACACCGATAACGACAAGATTTTATTATCTATTCTTTTTTCTGCATTTCTACATATTCAGTTAGGTGACTTCCTGAATGAATCTCAACAAAATTACTTCTCAAAATCAATACAACAACTATTTATGCAGTAACGTTCACCAGTTTCCTTTGGTCCATCATCGAAAACATGGCCCAAATGAGCATTACACTGAAATTACATGAGAAAGTGTGAAGCCAAAGTTGTTTTAATTTTAATTTCAAAACGTACGAAATATTATAGCAAACAATGTAGATCATATATTATCTGTCATATATAGATATAGATCATATAGATCATATATTATCTCCTCTCTGTTTATGAAGAAAAACATCATACATACATAGATATATAGATATATATCTATGTATGTATGACATAGGTATATAGGTATATATAGGTATATGATACATATGTATAGACATAGGTATATGATATATACATAGATATATATCTATATATCTATGATAGATATATATAGATCATATATTATCTCCTCTCTGTTTATGAAGAAAAACGTCATAGCGTCATGTGAAGCTTCACGTATCATTGAAGTGCTTTATGAAATGATGTATTCACCTGTTTACACCGCACCTCAACGCGCTCCATCCCCATTGAATTATCCTTTAATCTCACTATATTCAAATCATTGTCCACGGATTTTGAAAAAGCTGGCCAGCCGCAGCCCGAGTCGAACTTAGCATCCGACCTGGAATTTAAATTGATTCATACTTTTGCTAAGACAGATTCCCTTAACTGTCAAACTTTTATAATGAAAAATATACTTAAAAAGTTGTGCTCCACAACAGCGACAGACATATAACCCGGACTTGAAGTGCTTGTCAAATTTTCCTGAGAATGGTCTTTCGGTACCACCCTCTCGAGCAATACTATATTCCAAAGGAGTTAAAACTTTTCTCCATTCTTCTGGTGTCACCTGTTGTGGATTCTGCTTTTTCAGTGCATCCATTGCACTTTTTCCTATAAATTTAACAGAGTTTTTGAAGTACGAATGTATAAACCAAGTATACGATTTGCCAAGAATTTGTTAGATTATTATAACCAGAAGGCGAAACGAGTTATAGTAATAGAATGACCTATACTTAACAACCGTTAATAACATACGTAGCACAGAAATTCAAAAAAAATACCTCTTGAGCTAGCAGCCATGAAACGCGAAGTTGATTTAAATGGACCTAAAAAGAGATAAACTAAAACAACTTAATATCAAACTAAGAGCTACTTATATTTTCTAATTCTCCTTCAATCCTTTACTTTTTGTTGTTGTTAAATACAGTTTTTATCCTTTAAACAAAATCAGCACAACTACAACATTTCGCCGTCCCCTGATAAAACTACAAAATGAAACAAAGAAAATATCATCTTATCAATAGCTCACCGATCAATCGTAACATACCTCTTCGCCTTCCACCAAACAAGACCGTTATGTCGAATGATATTCCTCTATTTAATTCTGATACTTATTTAAACACCACAATGAGTACCATCACTTGTAAACCATCTCACTTAATCGAGAAATTAATACTCATTAACTTCACTTATATAATTAATCCCCTCATAAGTTGCTCCACTTGTATTTCTGCAAGCCTTATGCATCACCTCCTTTAGAACTGCAGGAAACAAACTATTGCATAGGTGTTGCATGCTGTGAGGGATTTGTACGAGGGAGCGCGTGGCACGGAGTGTCTGCAGTCTTTGGTGTCTTAATTTTGTTTAAGATTGTTGGGGTGTTGCAGTGGGAAGTGGAGGGTGTACTCCTATGGACTGCTTTATTACGTGAGTAGCGTGTAAAAAGTATTGCAGGCTGTGTTATATATGGCTGAAGGGAGCTTCCGATCATTAACGGCTAAAGAGATTCGTAAACATATCGAACGGCGTGGCGAGGATAAACAGTCGCAACAGAAGCAGAAGAAGTGAGATTTGTGGTCATGAATTGTTTGATTTGTTTAAAAATCTTCCTATGCATTTCTGTCTCTTGGAAGTAAGAAAGAAATAAGGAAAGAAGCTGTCGACTGAAGTAAATATGTTGAATAAATTAATATGTTTCCGATGGTCCCTAATAGTGCTATTTTGTAGGGGTTACAAATCATATAGATTCCTTACACAGATGTAATTGACTTATTGCGATCTTAATCTTTCATAGTAGAAACTGTTACTGAATCTTTCTACTTTTCGTCGTGGAAGAGTTGCCTTTAAAAATAAGTGATTTATTGGCTTTTATATATGTTGAGATTCAATATTTGCAGAAGAGCTGATGATGATGATGACAATAATGGGTCAGATGATACGGCAAGGAAGAAATGTCATGAGGATGACCGATTGAACGATCGGAAATATGGCCGAAAAAGAAGAGGAAGAAGTGTGGAGCGACACAATGACAGTCGACACCGAATTGACAGACATTATGACCGTGGACGAGAAACAGACTCGGTAATTCGGGAACGGAGTTCTGGGCTCGGCCATTCGAGAGAGCGAAGTCGGGATCGATGTTCAAGTAAGGAGAGGGAGGATCGTGGCCATCATCACAAAGAGGTATCTTTCGTCGCTGTATCACGCTTCAAAGTTAAATCTAACATGTTTTCGCAAAGTGTAGTTTCACTAAAATTACTTTGATCTGATGGATTTATTGATTTTAGGGTATTATCGCTCTGCATATTTTATACCCGTACTTTTTATTTCCTGATTACATGTTTCATTTTATGAAGAGTGAGCGGCGGAGCGCTACTCTCTTCTTGACCCTTTTAGAGCGACTCGAAGCAGCATAGAAGCAACAAGCCGTCGTACGAACGAAATCGAGCTGTGCGAAGGAGCCGTTCCTCTCGGCATTATAGGTATGTTGAAGATTTTTTTGCCGATATTATCTTGTAACATCTGTCTGTGTAGCATTACTGTATTGATGCAAAGGAATTTTCGACTAACTGGAGTCTTAACTTCTTTTAAAAAAGCTTTCAATGAAGCTTAACAAAGAAATAGGTAATATCGAAAATGTTAGTTTAGTTATTTTACCGAATATTTTAGTCCAGAGGATAGTGAAGATGGAAGCAGCGATCGACCAGCTTGGGCAACAAAGGCAGTTATGAAAAGAGCAGAGGAAATACAAAAGAGAAAATTGATTTGGAGTAAACCGGAGGAAAAGAAGGTAATTGCAGTTGTGTAGTGATAATCGACGAAGTAATGTTATACAGAAGAAAAAAGATTAGTGTTGGTAATAATTCAATTCTTTTCAAAGCTAATTTAGGAATTGGAAAGTGATGCTGTTCCGTCACTTACTGGTCTGCGGCCATCTACCACTTCTACATGGAATTCTATTCTGGCTGCAAGTTCATCAGATAGCAAGCAATTGGACAAATTTAAACGGTATGTTTGCCCAAGTACTTCTTGAGGATTTGCATCGTAATCAAAATTGAAAAATTCATGTCTGACAATATTGTTTACTTTTTACTGTTGATGAAAAGATTTAGCTTTTTGATTTAAAGTGTTAGTAAATAAGCAAAGTTTGAAGTCTGTGACTAATCCGAATTATAGTTTAATGGGTATGAAAAAAAGTGATGAAGAAGGTCAAGAAGAAGTGCCGAAAGTAGATAATAATCAAGTTGAAGCTGAAAGAAGACGGCAGCGTGAACTTTACAGTCACTTAGATCATCAGTATGCAGTGGCACGATCTGTCACGCATCTCAGTCGAGGTCAGGGGCTTGGTTTCCATCAGTGATTTATTGTTTCCTAGTCAGAAGCTATCTCAAAGATTGCAGTGTTACTTCAAAAAAATTTGTGCGAAATGCTAAGTGAATCTAAAGTGCATTTTGGCTTGAATTCTGCAATAGTCATTGATTATGATAGTTATAATAGGGACTTCTCATTATTGCAACATATGCGACAGCATCAACTCGTACATCATTTTTGATTTAAAGTATTAGTAAATAAGCAAAGTTTGAAGTTTGTGATTAATCCGAATTATAGTGTACATCGAATGACAGACATTACGACCGTGGGTATATTTTCAAATGTAATATTGTTGTATATGATAAGCAGTGTTAAGAATCCTTCTCTGACTAATTTAGAAAAGTTTTAAGTTTTAGTTGCACTCATCTAAAGTTGTATATAATGTTGAGAGCTTTAAATACGTACTTCCCATTATCCATTCTGAAAGATGCGGATCTTTGTTATTCCCTTATGTCATATATTTGCTTGATTATTGTCTTCAAATGTTTTCTAACATAAAATGTTAGCCTTATATTTTTCAGTAATATTGAAGGGGACGCGAAGAAAATTTGGTGGTTTTTTTCTCCATATCCCATTCTCTGACGCTACGCATTTAAATATCTTCCAATTATTCAGCTGTTAAATGAATGTTTGCATTCGTACAAAAATGGTATAAATATCATCTCACAGTTCGGAATCAAAGAGGAGGTTATTTGGAGGAGATGTAAATTTGGAGCAGAAATCTTTTTGAATATTTAAAATTGATGTAAAGTGTCGATGCTGCCAGATGAGGGACAGCAATTGAAGCACGATGATGAACCCCATGGAGATCATGATAATATTTTGTCGGTAAACTGTCCGTACCTCCAGTGTGTTTATCAATATTTCCTGAAAAATGGAGTCATTTTAATTTGGTCACATCTTTGAAAAGATGTTATCAGAACTACAGATGTAGTAGAGCGGTGGCTTAGCGTGTATAACCATGTGTCAGCAATTCATATAGAGTTCGGTGTTGCTGGAGTGGCGGTAGTGATTAAAAATGTGTTATTGTTTGAGAAATCAATGAGAACAGTATTGTAAATGTCTGAACCAATGAACCGCTTTTTATCTCAGAATCTAATTAGTAAACAATATAATAGAAAAGTTTCAGGACAGGGAATGCGTTTTCTGATCGAGATTTAGACTGAAATTGGTCCTGGAACTGAATTACAGTATTTCAATTTTCTTTCCTTGTAATCTAAGAGCTTTAAAAAATTTTTTCTTGTAGATAGTTCCTTTAAAAACCCGTGGTAGAACATAATCTGGAATCTTTCAAAAGTAGATGTTCATCATTTCCTAAAAAGGCACATCAGTGTTGTTAAAGCTCGGGCATTATACGAATTAAATTGTATTTACTGTGTTGGCTGGGAGACTATTGTCTCTTCCCATTGTAGCTGAATCCATTGACTCTGCATTGAATGTTGTTATATAATTTTCAACAGATAATCGGCATCTCAGCTTGTACTCTATTTTTGCTTCCTCACTGGAATGTTTCCAAAAATCTCCAAAATTTTCATTGCCTTCTCCACTAGTTTCAACTGCCATGAGAAGTAATTTCTCACGTGATGCCAATTTTCGGAATTCTGTAACTGATTTGCTTGATCGGACTGATATAGTTGTGCTAATTAACGAATAATTTCAGGATTTTTTTCAATTTATAATCTTTTAATAACTATCGTGTGATTTAAACCAATCGAATTTTTGTAAAACGATGGATAATGGTTACGGGAAGAAAGGTTCTATGATGAAGTAGTCCATTTAGATAAGAACTGTTCATAACTCAAATGTGTAGCAAAAAATTTCAAACTATTAACAACTGAAAAAAATTTATTACCATTCTGTAAATAAACTCGGATGAATTCAGTTGCATTGGGAGCAATAGTCCCGGTGCTTGGACGTACGCGGAATTTTTCCGGTGAGGTAATCTTGATTTTATATGCAACATTTTTAGCACTTTCGTTCTTCAAAACCACGACATCAGCCATATCATTTTCACCATTTATGTGATTCAATGTTAATTCTTCACGAGGACTAAATTTCATTGATTATTTTAAAAAATTAGTTTAGATTTGATGAAAACATGTTTGTGACGAAAAGACAAAATAATAATTGCTGGAACAAAGATATCCAGAAAATTCATCAATTCCCATACGTGTGTTAGGATTGAGACCATATATATTGGTAAGCTTTTTTAAATAAATATCAACATGAATATATATTCTAAATCAGAAGTGTATGGAGAAAACTAACCAGATGGAGAGAAATTTGATCTTAGCATAATCTTTGACTGGAGTGTTTAAGCGTGCTTCAGCTAGAGGTCGTAAAGCTTGAGGTAAACCATTTCGCTTAGTATTGGAAGGTATAAGCTGTGGTGCGGAAGTTAACGAAGTACCGCGGCTTATATCTTCCTCCTCGAATGTGACAGACTGCAAAAGGTGTTTCTTTCAGCTAGTGGCTGCATAATTTAAAGGTCTAATAGAAAAGTTTTTTTTTAACTCGATTTGCCTCTTCATTATCTTCCGGATAATGAGAATTATTAAGTTCGAACAATTAGGTTAATTAAACATACCCGCCTAGGGCCCAAGTTATTGAAATATGCTGTACTGTCACTATCCGCAGTGTCGTTTTGTTGTTGAATGTGATTGATAGGTTCACTCGAAGGTGACTGTAATGGTATGCATTTAGCAATTTCATCCATTGTGAACATAAAACTGTCCTGAAATAGTCAGTGCTAAAAAATGGATATTGTTAAATATTGAGTGGTTATAATTGCTTACTCCATCATTCGTTTAAATCTATCTAATTAAATTGTCCCGCAAATCAAACTCATATAAGCTTAAATTTGATTCTTCTATAATCTGAGTTATAATACATTAAGAATTTTAGATCATTGTCGAAGTAATTCACTTTTCATCAATAAACACTTGTTAGCTATCAATAGATGCAGATGTTAATGATACATCCAATTATGTTTAATTGATATCAAATAGATACTGTTAAAACTGTTCTATCAGCTAATAAAGTTTCCCATTCAGCAACGGTAAGAGTGTAAGATCAAGCGATCATCAGGATATTGATGTGCAAGCGATTACATGGATCGAAAAAAAACTCCGTTTAATCCCCCCCCCTCCCCCTTAGAGTTATCTTTAATGCTTTAGTTTTGGCATTTTGACTTCGGTGTTGCTTTAATCATAATTACCGTTTATAAAGAAATGAAATTGAAACTAAAAGTTCGCGGGAGGAAAATATATAAACTTATCCGGTTATCTGTATATGTGTTGTACATTTCAAACCTATTTGAAAACCTGAACAGATAGAATAGAGTGGGAAATGATTCGTGACAAAAATGTACGCGAAATTTTTGATAGAAATGTAAACAAAAAGAATAGCCTTTTGAAATGTTCGAAGAGGTATGGTGAAATGAGAAATGAACAATCTAAGCAAAAAAGATAGGAAGCACTTTTTTACGAGCAGAGCGATCTCTTCTATAAAACTTCTCACTACTCTCTATGTCATTGATTTATATGTTATGTTACACATTTTTAAACTTGAGAACTTTACTAATTCGAAAATTTCTTCAATTGAAAAATTAAAAAATAATTCTTTTTGTAAGACATAGAGAAAATGAAGAAGCTATTGGATAGCCCAAACTTTCACACAATTTAACGAAATGCTTCCGTTGCATCGAAATTGCAATGTTTCATTCATTATTGATGATTCATTCACTTCATTGTATCTTTTTAACGAATAGTTAAAGATTTTCTTCTGATTCCTGATACCACCATGATTATTGAAATTTAGAAGATTTTTTCTAAGTACTTTTTAATCAATAAGACAGCATAATACCGAATTATATGAATGAAAAATAGATATAATTAAAATTACTTGAAAATATCTTCTTTCAGATGTTGCTCGAATCATCATCATAGCCTATCCTATCCTAAATTATTTAATGATAACATCGTACTTGTAAAAATATCATCGCCTTCTTATCAGAAACAAAATGCGAGTTAAAATTAAAAATTCTGTCAATTCAAATTTATGAATTTAAAAAGTCGTTAAATATTTTTTATGTTAAAATTAAATGAAAAGAAACAAATGGTATTTTGTATATTTAATTTTTGGCACAATCAGTTTTAAAAGGAGAATTTAGATTAACTTTAATAAAATGATATTGCCAAGGACAGTGGTCAATGAATCTTAAGCAGTGAAATTGATAACTGAATTTAGAAAATGGAAAAAGCTACGTACTAATTAAAATATCTAAATGCAAAAAATCTAATAAAGATAAACTCCCAAAAATATTAAATGTCAAAATGAGCTAAGCATCGCTATATTTTGTGACAAAGCCGCCATTATAACTCATTATAACTTATTTCGCATTTAAAGCTTTGGATATTTTTTGAAATTATTTATATGTATTTGCGATATAAAAATAGCTTTCTCAAAAGATCAAAAAACGAAATAGCAAATTGCGCCGCCTTCAACATCTTCTAAACTGCCATAATTTAATAACTCATTACAGTTTTTTCAATTTCTTAATGACGATCAAGATATGATATAGTATTAAATTATCGATTAAGATATGATATAGTACTAAATTATCGATATGAAATGGTTCTAAATTATCATTTCACCCTTTGCTGATACTTCCAAAACTGAAATCTACATTATATCGTATCGAAATTAAGCACTTTAAACTTAATAACTCATTCTCATGGAACAGTTCATATCACTAATGGATGGATTTACAACCATAAATTAGCTTTTTTTTTTTTGTACGAAAACATAACAGGTTTATAAGGTTCAATTTCCAAATGGGCAGCAGAGAAACAATTCAAAAATTATAACCTTAAATTATCTGTAATTTTTTTTAATTCTGATTCTATAAATTAACGAAATTGTTATTTTAGGTTTCTGCTAGGATAACAGTTTCATAAATAAATATTTTTAGGAAAATCATACCTCGCC